TCAGTATCTAACAGCATCCATGCGGGTGGGAACCACAGTTCCTCCACCTTCTCCGATGATGGTGCTGTGTGGGCAGCTCCCGGTGGTCAAGCTGCCCGCTGGACCCTCGCACCATTCCTCACAGTCAGGCTCCAGGTTCTCCTCTGTCATCTATCATGAGTGACATCCAACTCTTTAAAATCGTTATTCCTTGTTTTAAAAAAATCTGTGCTGTGCCATCTGGGACCTCCAGTATAATGACGAGTTGAGGGATAAAAAGGGACTAATTTGTCTCGTTCCTGGTGATGCCTGTTTTTAAATTGATGCTCTATAGCCTTTGTCAGGCTCTGAAAGGGGTCCAAGATTCAAGAAAGGTAGGGGGGTGGGTGTAGCTCAGTAATAGAGCACATGCTTAGCATGTACGAGGCCCTGGGTTCAATCCCCAGTTCTTCCATTAAAAATAAATAAATCTAATTATCTCCCTCCCCCTACAAAAAGAAAGTAAAACTGCTCTTAAAAAAAAAATACAGGAGTACTGTATGATCCAGCAATCCCACTCTGGGCATATATCCAGAGGAAAATATAATTCACAAAGACACATGTACCCCAATGTTCACAGCAGCACTATTTACAATAGCCAGGATATGGAAGCAACCCAAATGTCCATTGACACATGACTGGATAAAGAAGATGTGGTAGAGAAGATAAAATACAATGGAATACTACTCAGCCACAAAAAGAATAAAATAATGCCATTTGCAAGAACATGGATGGACCTGGAGATGGTCATTCTAAGTGAAGTAAGTCAGAAAGAGAAAGAAAAATACCCTATGATACTGCTTATATGTGGAATCTTAAAAAAAGGACGGAAATGAACTGATCTACAAAACAGAAACAGACTCACAGACATAGAGAACAAATTTACGGTTACCGGGGTCGGGGGGAGGTATAAATTGGGAATTTGAAATTTGCACCTCTTGGGGAGTGACGGAAATGTTAGCTACCTTGATTGTGGTGGTGTTTTCATAGGTGTATACATCTAACAAAACTCAAAAAAAAAAAAAAACCACAGGAGTCTAAAAAGAAAAGGAAGGTGAATAACCACTGGTCTGAATTACCTTTGCACCATGTAAAATAAACAGAGTCAGGTTATCAGTTGTAGGAAAGAGAGAAAGTAAAACAATCAAGCCAGGACATAGAGCCGCAAAGACCCATGAGAAAAGCAGGCCGGTGAGTCAGGGCCAGGACTGGGCAGGACACCAGCTGCCCCGCGAAGGGTTGGGGGAAAGAGTCACATCACACAGAGGAGAGCTCGGGCCAGAAAACGGAGCAGCGGGAGTCCAAGCGCATGGAGCACAAGTGGCAGAGGTGACACGCTTGTTGCGCAGACGCAAACAGCTTCCGTCCCCTTGCTTAACTTCCCCTCAGTTTACTCACCTGTCAATCAAAGCTAATAACACCTACATCTTATTTATGAGTCATAAATTCTCCTTGGCTGAAAAAGGCAAATACAGTTTTTAAAGAGTCTTTATTGAGTAGGTAGCTGTTGGAAGATTCCAGGCCTTTTCCACATTAGCAGTGTGCTTGGGGGAGGCGGGGAGAAAGCTGGTCTGGGGATAAAGAGTCACAGGCCCTCCTGAGTAATCACACACACGCATGCACACACAGACACACCCACACACGCACATGCGCGGTGCGCCTGCCTTCGACACAGCTCTGATTCCCAAACCAGCTAACCCCTCAGTTTGCAGACGCCTCCACAGTGCCACCCCACACTGTGCCTCATGAGCTGAGTGACCGGGCTGTGCGCAGTCCATCCTGGCTGCACTGGACCAGGCGGTGCAGACTGAGGCACTCCCCAGGATGTGCCCAGTGGAGGGGGTACGTGTCCGGAGGAAGCTTCTCTCCCACAGGCCAAAAGAGGACAGCAGACTTGGTGCACAAGCAACTCAGGGAGTCTGCCAGAAGTTGTCTCAAAGATCCGGCATGGCCGGGGGGTGGGGATCTTTGATTCCAGTGGACAGGGGACAGGAGGGGGAGTTTTACGCCTCTCACGTGCAAGGTCTGGGAGCTCACAGCTCAACTTCAGTTCCCCTCTGCTCGTTTAATTATAAGAGCCAGAAGCCCAGGCGCTCTGTAATTTACTGGGCAGGTGAAGAGTCACTTTTCTCTGAAGACAAATTGCTGGGCCACCTGGGCACAGTAGTGAAGTGTGGCAGGAGCCCGAGCCCTAAGCAAACAGGGGACACAAGGAACCAATGGGCCCTGAGGGGCGAGGTGGTCAGTCTGCACTATGAACCAGGGAGACTTAGGAACCAGAGAGAGAATCCAAGCTACTCTCCAAAGGCAAATCTTAAATCACACGATGTCTGGAGAGACCCAAGTGGCCAAAATACAAAACAAAACCAAAAACAAGACGTACAAAGGATGTGACGGGTCCTTTCAGATGCCCTCTGGCCCACAGTGCGAAGTAAGGTTCAAACAGCCGAGTCTGCTTTCCCAGAAGGCCACACAGCTCATATTAGCAGCCCCAGAGCTCTGGGCTCCGGATGCAAAGAAATGTCATTTGCATCAGGGCCGCACCACACTTTGTTGGCTTCTGTCACGGATAATGATGGAACTAAATGTAACAGTGCCTGTAGTAGGGTTTGAATTATGAGCCGGCGCATCTCTGTCACTTCTTCATCTCTGTGTAGTTTGGAAAAGATTTGTTAACCGCACTGAGAGGTCCCCCGTGGGACCGCACCCCTGAGCCTGCGGCAGTCTCTCCAAAAACATAAATCAGGATCAATCTCCTTCGCCCTTCACCCCCCGCCCCATTGTCACTCCGCGGGGCTGGGGCAGGAAGAAGGGACCAGCCTCCAAGGTCCTCTGGAGTTGGGCCACCTTCGTGCCAGGGGCCTGCCCGCTCTTGCTCACTGACAACAGGAGCCAGGGTGAGGCCGCGAGAGGGGTTTTGGCTCACAGGCCAGGGTCAGGCCCTGGGCAGGCGCTTCGCTGCCAGACAACACTGATCGTCCCAACACCCGCGCACAGTACACAATGTCACCGTCCCTACAGCTGAAGAAGATGGGGAAGTGACTTGCCTAAGGTCAACACTCTGCGACGCAGAGAGCAGGCGCAGAAGCCCAGAGACAAAGCAAACTACCCCAACCCCGCCACCGCCACCAGGGACCTGGAGGGGTTTTAAACGCAGGACTCCTGCCTGCGACCCTTTGCGCGGCTGCCTGGTCCCGGGCTGTCCAGAGAGCCTCCCAGGCCGCCCTCTGTCCGGGAGTCGCGGGCATTGAGGTCGCGCGCGCGTCACTCTAGGAGCCGCGGTCACCCTGGCCCGCGCGCAGGATCCGGGGTCCCGCGCCGCCCGTCCAGCTCAGTGGGCACTTCTAGCTCAGTGGGCACCTCCGGGTCACTGGGCACCGAGGGCACCGCACTCCACAGGCTCCCCTCCCGCGCGGCAGGGCAGGTGTCCGAGCCCGGCCACCCTTCCGAGCGCAGGCGGCCCCTCCCGGGGAGCTGCCCCCGTCGCACCCGGCCCGCCCGCCAGTGCCCGCCAAGGGTCCCGCGCGCGCGGCGCTCCCAGCTGGACCCCCGGCCACGCGGGCCGCGCCGTCCGGGTCCTCTGCCCACACCGCCCGCAGGAGGCGCCCCCTCGTGCCGCGCCCGCCGGCGGCCGGGAAAGTTT